CGGAGTAAAAGATGAGCTTATTTTTTCAAGTGTCCCAGTCATATGCAAATATAAACATCTTTTTGTACTTCGATTGAATCAGCACAAACTCATCGCATCAAAAATAGATTGGCTTTTTTCAATATAAAGATATTTTATTTTATGGACACTCTATAAATAGCCTTGGTAATATTATGAAAAAAAAAGGCAGCAATAAAATTTACATTAAAAATTTCACAGGCGCATATACGCCGCGCTAACGCGACCGGATCGAGAGCGGCTGTATCTCAGCCTCGCGCTTCCTCGTCACAATCAGAGGCCTTTCCGTTCCGTCGCGGCTTTTTTATCCCCCGCACTCGCGATACTCGTTCCCCCTCCGCGCTCGAGGCTGAATATCTTTTTCGATGTCATTTTCCCCCCCGATTGATAAGGAGCGTGGACGATATATAGGGTTCCGATCGAGAGGTTTTTCTTCCGATTTTCGAGCACTTGGACGGTTTCTTGCACAATCTCGGCCGAGAATCTTATCAATACTATAGTCGCGCGGACGCGTGGAATAAAAGTGTACGTATCTCCGGCGCGGAATAGTACCGTCGAAAGCGCGTACATGTGCGACGATATTTTTCGCGCTATCGCTTATTTTCCAGCGGTTGTGACCTTGCGATTGAAAACGCGTCGAGTACCGTTTCGTTGGCGAAAGAAACGGCGATCGCGCGTAGCGGGAAAGACGATCGATCTGGCTGCGAAAAAAAAAAAAAAAAAAATTCCTTCGGTTCACCGATCGCTGAACTTGATCGGCAGACAAATTGTCGCACGAATTCAGATCGTTATACATATCTACGATTGCCGATCGCTCGTTTATCGATTTATTCGGCTGTTCTCACTTATCCGCTGATCCGCGAGTATCTTTTTGCGACCGTGTGCATAGTTTGGAGATAAGCCAGGCACGTGGGCGCGAAAGAAATCGTTACCGATCTCTCACTGACCGATTAAATCTCGGCTTTTTGAAAAACCCGCGAAACGCGATGATAAGCCAAATCCACGTATAAAGACGTCCGAAACGAATCGTTGCACCTGAAAAATCGGTAAAACGATACACCCTATAATCATAAAATGAGCACCTATTGTTTGCGAAACTCCTTCCTCGACCGATCCACGCGCGCGTAGCTAATGTATTCGAAAAGTTGCCGCCCCTGACATTGCAATGTACCTTACACACATCACAGAGTCGCTATAACGTACAAAAACAAATTTATCGAGCCAACAGCGGGAGGACTTATATAATTAATTCATAATCGTTTGGCAAGCTGTCCTCGAGCGTAAACTTGTTGCATTCGACGATCGCACCACTATCCGGGTCCCTATGGGGCCATCACGGGCACAGTTTAGTTACACGAGCCACCATCAAAGAGTCTCATATTCTGTGTTGGGGGGTGTCGAGGGAAAAAAAAAAAAAAAAAAAAAAAAAAAAAAAAAAANCTAAAGATAAATACCTCGTGTACTTTGATGTAAATAATTTATATGGATGGGCAATGACACACGCATTACCAAGAGAACATTTTCAGTGGGTTGACTACATTACAGAATCAAACTTCCTTGAAATATCAGATGATGGTGATGTTTGTAAGAGTAATGACCGTTATGGCTACATGTTAGAGGTAGATTTGGAGTAATAAGTAGCTATCCATGATGGATACAAAGATTTGCCTTTCTACCCACAGCAAATGGTTCCACCACTCTCCAAGCAGCAGAAGCTCATAACGACTTTGTATGATAAAGAGCGCTATGTTATACATTACAAAGTATTGAAATAGGTTCTAGTACATTGACTAGTGCTTAAAAAAGTTTATGAAGTCTTGCATTTTACAGAAAATTCATGGCTTGAATCGTACGCTTATCTCAACACAGAGAAAAGGAAGCAGAGTAGAAATGAGCTTGAAAAGCTTTTCTTCAAATTCATGATCAACACCCTGGATGGTAAGACCATAGAAAATGAGCGAAAAAGTGTAGGTGATAAACCTCGTAAATAAGGGAGAAGGACGCTACAGTACAAAAACTTTCATAGCCCAACCAAACTTCCACAGTTGCTTCATTTTTGTGGAAAATCTTGTGGCTATACAGCTTCCACCTACATAAATTAGCATGAGAAAACCAATATAAGTTGGTTCAAGTGTACTAGACATATTGAAGAACCTTATATATGATTATTATTATTCATACATGAACAACCGTTCTGAAAGATGTAAATTTCTATATGCTGACACCAACAGCTAATATATGAGATAACTGGTTAAACTGTTTACGAAGTTATGGAGTAAGACATACATAAATTCAACACATCAAACTTTTCATTGAATATCAATTTTATCTGCCTCTCGTAAACTGAAAAGTCATAGAGTTGATGAAAGATGATGTTACGGCAACATCATGACGAAATTCATGAGACTCTGAAGAAAGATATATTGCATCCGCGTACAAAACGAAAAGCTTATTAAGTAGGCCAAGCTTGTCAAAGCAGCAGTAGTAAAAACAAAAATCGGATTCGAGGATTACTGAAACTGTCTCTACTATAAATATACAGTCATATGTCAAAAAAATAATATTTGATGTAGGCTGTATACATTGTCCATACAGTACAACACCGGAAAATAGCTTTCAGTCCACAAGATGACAAACGTTAGATACTTTCGAATAGCACAGATACGTTACCATGGGGCTACATCACTTTGGACGATGAAGATCTCTAGCTACTAGATATGCTCGTCCATCTAGGTAATGAAGTTGAAAAATAAATGAAGGGAGAAGAAATGGAGGAAGAAGAAGAGCTACGAATAGAGCTGCACCCTCCAGAAGAGCTTATTTTGTTGTTGGATGAGCTAGAGAGCTTACTAACTCCCTGGGAAATATTTACCTCTAGTTTAAAAAATAAAAACAATTAAACATAAATTAAAATTTTTTAAATCTTCTTTGTTGTATACGAAATTTATTCATTTCTGTTTCAGTGAAATGGACTTTGCTGCATTGAACGGTATACGCTAACATAAGTACCTCCTGACAATAAGGTTGTCGCAGCTGGAGAAAGAACGGAAATATATTATGACCCAGCTTAAGAAGGTTAATACCCACTTTGTATGCAGAGTAGTAATTACCGTCAGTGATAAATTTCAAGTCTCTACTTTAGATCATGTTTCAAAAGCAATAAAAGCCAATGATAATTTATAAAATGAGTTGAGAGAAAAATTTAGATAATATGCTTTATTTATTGTACATCATGGTGTTATTAGGTTTGAATTTGTCAATTTATAAACTAATAAAAGAGAAAATTTACGGATGAAGAAATGCATAAAAGTTTGTTCAACACTGAATGTGGCGTATCTCTTTCTTTCTTGAATATCTGACTCGCTAATCCAAATATTACGTGATTTACCAAATCCCAACCACTCAACATAAACCATATTACCACTTTTTTTCATGACTTTTACCACTAGATATATGTCTAGATATTTGAATTCTAAAAGCTTTTGTTAGTAAAAGCCACCAGAGACCAAATAATCCTTATAATCTTTTAAATAACAAGTCACTAGACTAGTTTTTCATACTTCATAAGCTGTTAATATTTCAGTAAACCAGTTTGGTGGACAGCCTTTTTCGAAGGCATTTTTGCTTTACCAACACGCATTTTATTATTAACTGTAGCAAACAGTGGCTTTTGATTTAGTGACTCCAAAAACTTATTTAAAAATTTTTTTCCGTATTTTCAAAGAAAGTAAGCTTGGATGTTTCACCTTTTTATTGCACTTCATAAACCGAATCCAATACATCTCTTAAATTTTCATCAACAATCTATACATATACATTGCCACGAGAATGAGTGGTAACATTCATTTTATCATCATCATTATCATCATTCTTACTTTGACTCACAGCACACTCAAACATCATGTCATTATTGCTGTACTTCTCTTTTTTACATTTATTTGATGGGTAGTGGCTTGGCTTTATTAGGAATAACAGAATTATTTACTTTTAACCTTGTTTTAGTAATAATTTCCCCAAGAGGACCATTAATAAGTTTAATGGTCTCATTGACATTTTTCAATCTTGTATCTTTCATATTTCAATGATTGATACTTCTTTTTGACGATTTCTCTAAAATTTACTAATCTATGAAGTACGTCTTTTTGTCCTTGTACATGTTGTTGCTTCAACAGCTCATAGTAGACTGAAAAGTGCAATTTTTGTGCCATATATTTATAGCAGAATTGTCAAACCCAATACCAACCACTGTTTATTTTTTTCTCCTTATCGATAACAACAAAACCATGTTCATCAACATTTCAACAGTTCGTGGAGATATTTTTGAACTGGGTATACGACATATCGGAGTTTACATGGTCATCATACGCATGTTTCATATTCCGGTTATCTTGACGAACTAAAGCTAAGAGATTAACATTGTCTTTCACAATGTGTTTTGGTACTTGTGCGTATAACTGGCGTAGATAAAAACAGTCTACATAAATATGTTTTCCCATACAGTAGAAAGCTCTTACATGATTCCGCTTTTTACAAGCTATGTCATAAAAAATCAGAAAAGAATTGGGTAGGGCATCATCTGCAGATACTACTACTATTATGTATGTAACAACTATTATTTATGCAACTACTTACTAACTTCCTTATTCACTAAACGCGTTAATAGAAGTAATAAAAATAAATAATTGAACTATCTAAGATAACAGACACGGTACAGAACAAAAGGTAGCTACTGCAGTAGTGCTACGCATAATTTCTGTTATATTTCAATAGATTCTAGTCACATTATTTACTTGTCTTTTGTTAAAATATTGTTGAGAGATTTTAACTTTAAAAAAAAAAAACGTACCGGGATACTTACCGCAAGATGTTATAGAAGCAGTATCATATTATTTGCTGCACAAGATTGTAAGTACATTATAAGAAAGTTTTTTTATTTGAAAAGTATGTTTATTTACAAAAAAAAAAAAAAAAAAAAAACGTACCGGAAACCGCAGCCACGTACTGAAGGACCTTCGAGCCGGACTCCTCCATCTCGAGTAAAAGTTCGGCTCTACCTGACGGCCTGGGCTTGCTTTGGGCGATCCTCGCTAGCTGCTGCTCCTCCTCGTCTGAGGCACTGCTCGGTTGGGTGGTCGGCTGGTACACCGACGACGCGATCGGACTCGTGGGCACGGGGCTGTAGGCATACTCTTTATACGTCGCCGCGCCAGAAGGAGCGTTGATAGCGCCACTACCGCGGCCACCGATCGCTGACGCCGGTGATGCTGTCGGCCGCCGTGTAACCCCTTCGCTGCGCCTCTCGTCGGCGGAAAGTCGACTGGTGGGAGACATGCCGCTAGTGTGGGTTGTATTTATATACATAATATATATTCGTTTGAGCCGTCGTTGGCGGTTGGCCACTTTAATTTGGTCCTCCGCTTGAGACTTTTAGACGACAGTGTGGGAGATGAGAGCTTTGGTCGAAAAATCAAAATAATTGAGATTTTTTTTTTTTTCATTGGGCCAATGGTATCTTTGTCGTGCCACAAATTAAATTTTTTTTTTAATGATTCGTAAAATTAATGGAGCGTTAATTTGCCGTTTTTTTTTTTTTTTTTTTTTTTTTTTTTTTTTTTTTTTTTTTACAAACAAAAGTAA